GCGTCTGCTCTGCCGCTCACCCTCTCGCCGACTCCCTAGCAGCCTCCACGACCAGCGGACGACTCCAGCTCAGTCGGCCTCTCTACCCCAGCCTCGCTCTGGGCGCCGTGACGTCACCTCTGTGACGTCATCGGCGGGCGGGTCCAGAGGACGAAAGGGGTGGAGCGCCGCAGCAGCTGCGTGGACTTTCCCCGGGGGGTTCTGGGAGTTGTAGTTCCTCATTCTCCTGCCTTCGCCGCCCCCGTCCCCTCCCCCTACTTCCTCACACACTTAATCGCTCAACTGCCAGTGTCGTTACCGTCTTCGCAAACGATAACAGTAAATAATAGCAATATTATTACGTTCATGGGTTTTAGGGTAATGAACCTCTTTCTTACATACGCTATTAAAAAGGATGTTTATTTAATTTAAGGAGGCCAAGGTGACAATTACTCAGGCACCAAAATCTGGAAAATTCCCACACCAGCAGGTTCCCCTGCACTCTGCTCCCTCCTTGGATGGAGAGAATTTGTTTGCTGCGTTTGTAGAATATGGCAAGGCCTTCTCAGAACTTGCAAACCAGGGTTATACCTTCCGTGTGTATAGGGCCACTATTTCAAGGGTTAGAGTTGAGGTACCAAGGTGACAAAGCCAAAAATAATTTAGTACTCACATCCTTACTCCACAGAGTAGGAGGTAATTTCACAAAATGAACAACTGGTAGAGGCAGGAACACCTTAAATATGCTGTAGTTCAGGACAAAGCTCTTCTGCTCTCCAAACTCCTCTACCAACCCTAGTACTCTGTCATTCATTCAATAAATAGTTATTGAGTACCTACTGTGTACCGATCACTCTGCTGGACATAAGGGTATCGTGGTAAACTAAGAATGACTATGTTTGCACAACCCTCCTAATATGGTCTGTGGGTCTGTCAGCATCACCTGGGAACTCGTTAAAAATGCAGGCTAGAGGCCCAGGCTGGGTGCTCATTGGTTACAGCATCATCCCCCGCCCCCATGCCAAGGCTGCCGGTTCGATTCCCAGTCAGGGCACATACCTGGGTTGTGGGTTCAATTCCCACACACACATACATATGGGGCACATATGGAAGGCAACCGATGGATGTTTCTCACATCGATATTTCCCCCTCACTTTCTCTCTCTCAAATCAATAAATAAAAATAAATGAGACTAGAATTTCACCTGAGACCTACTAAATTAGAATGTGCAGTTTAACAAGGTCCCCAGGTGATTTCTATGGTTAGGGAAGTTTGAGAGACGCTACTCGACAAGACACTCCAAAAAAAGTGGTTAAGTAATATGCAACCCAGGAGTCAGCCAAGTAAAGGGGGTGGAAAATAGTGCTCTAGGCATCTCTCACTATATATCACTTTTTCACTGCCATAAATTTTCAAAATTTTTATCTATGGATCACTTGTATTTTGTCAGTCCCCTTACTAGCCTCACACACACACACACACACACACACACCCCTACCCGAGGCAGCAGCAATCAGCTAAAGTTGAATGTTGCTTGCTCTTATCATTACATCCTTCAAAAAGACTGGCTAATTTGTGTGTGTGTGTGTGCCTGCGCACACTAAATATACATAACATAAAATTTGCCATTTTAACCATTTTTGAAGCGTGCGCTTCAGTAGTATTAAACACATCCACTGCCGATGTTGTGCAACCATCGTTACCATCCATTTCCAGAACTTTTTTTATCCCCAAACAGAAACTCTGTACGCACTAAACAGCAACCCCTCCTTCATTCCCCACTCCCCCAGCCCCAGTAGCCTCTGTTCTACTTTCTGAAAGAGATGGGCTATTTCACTGCTTCTGAAAGGGGTGCATTATTCCTTCCTCCCGCACACAGTCATTCTGTCAGAAGGAGGGCATGCCTGAATGAGGGGATTTCTAACGCTTTATATGACCTCTCTGTCAAAGGAAGCTAAGGATGGAGCAGAAAGTTGTTCCTGACTGCATCTCCTCTAGGTTCTTCAGGCTCCCGTTGCTCCCACCCCCTCTCCCAGCACAGCTCCCCACTCTCCCCCACCTGTAACTCCCACTCCCTCGCTGAGACAGTGCTTCTCAGGCTCTGGTGTACTTCAGAATCACCTGGGGAGCTGGTTAAGCTCACAAGTGTCCAGGCCTCAACGTTGGGGATTCTGATTCAGAAGGTGGGGCTTGGACATCCATGTCTTTAACAAGCTCGCCAGGTGATTCTGATGCAGGCCAAAATTTGAGAACCGCTGCTCGAAGATTCCAATAGGCATCAGCGCTTTCAAAACACCTGCCTGACCCATCAAGGTGGGTCCTATGCTTCCATAATGTCTTATACAAATAAGGATGTTTCCTCCCCACCTGAGAACAAGATGGCACACTTAGAGGACCCAAAGGTGTTGTTTCCAGAACAGAAAGAACTGGTCAAGAATGGGACATTGAGAAAGAAGGGCATGGGGTGGATCTAGAAATTTTCCCTGGTGCTCTCATCTTCACAGATTCTATGCTGCTGTGATCTAAGTACCAAGCAAAACTTATCAAAGGAGTGTTTAGTTGGGGAAACTTGTTCTGGGCAACACTGGAGAAGTTAGGGTCACTCTACCTAGAAATGCATTGGAGATTTAGCCCTCTGAGCAGTCACTGAAAATGAATCACCCTTCCTAGTGTGTCTAGTAAGTATCGTAGCTCTGGGTTACTTAGGACAAACCTGCCCCTCCCCAGCTCTTAATTATGCCTCAGTTAATTGCATATATCCTCCTGGAGCCTCAATTTTCTCATCTGTAAAATGTGGCTCATAACTTGAGTGGGCTGATGGAGGAAATGGGAAAGATGAATGGGAAAGCCCTTTGGAAACTATGAATTGTTTTTTATAAAGTTAATGTGAAGTGTTCATTACAAGGTGTAATACGATATTTGTGGCAGTATTATTGTATAGTATTATTAATATCAACCCCCCCATTAGCCCCACTCCTTATATACTGTGTATCGTCTAAGGAAAGGGCATTCACATTTTTTAAAGATGTCGTAGTGTCAATTTCTTCTCTTTTTGGTGAAGACATGTTCACATTTTTGTCATACGCCTTTTTCTCTCTGGGCCTTCTGCCATTTGCTCCTTCATAAACCCATCTTCCCTCTTCTGATTCCCCACCCGTGTGTGTCCCCCCCCCC